GTTTTCCTTCTCCACATATTTATAAAGCAATTCTGTGCAATTTCCCTACTAATATCTAGTGTATTTTAAATAAGATTAATAAATCCAAAAAAAAACTTATTTCACAGATAATTTCACAACCGTTAGATTTCTGAAATTTATCACTAGAAATTTTACTCGTGATTTATGGTCCACTCGAGCTGGTTTTCCTGAATGTGACATCTGTATTTTTCTTTTTCAACATTATTTTGTCTTGAAATCTTTATAAACAAGCCCATTAGTCGTTCAGAAAACGTAAAGATGGGTAGTAATGGTGTCTTTATTTTGACTGTTGTTCTAGTTCTTCTAATGAACCTTTCCAGCCTTACATTCACTACATAAAAGACTGTTATTGCATTGCCTGTATATGCAGGAATGAATGATGCCTCCATCTTTCAAGATATAGCATAATGTAATAAACATGTAAGCAAGATATGTAGCAGTAATCAGCTGGGAGGGAACAGTTATTTACATGCTAATTTCATTGTCACTAATTTACACTGACTATATTTGACATTTTGGCCTTGCAAATTGTTGTGGCTTCAGATTGGAAATGAAAGAACAGCAATGGTCTCTTTATTTAGTGCTTGAAATTCTAATTTGTAAAACATCTGTTTCAAATATTAATTTCCGTCAAATGAGAAACACTAGAGGCTCTATATTGCTTTGGCCAATATGTTTGTAGAGTAAACACAACATAATAATCCCTAGTCCCACAATAATCAATTGTGGTTACTATTCATCTATAGATACAGCAATGGAAAAGCTAACTGTATCGGTAAAAAAATACAGTGCAGAGGTGGTGATGCACAATTGGTTGCCATTGCCAAGTTTTGCCACCTACAAGAATGGAGTGTCTGCTAGTCTACCAAGTCAAGTTAGGATAGTGTGGCTAGATTTCAAGTCGTTATTACACTGTATGTGTTTGAGCTCAGAGTAATAAAAACTCAAACAACTCATCGACCACTGTGTTAGTTCTGGCAACCCATATCAACCAGAATTGATCTCCCATTGTTTTAAGTATTTTAAATTGCTGCAAGTTGAGAGGTAGTGCATATTTTCACTCTGAAAGTTTCCTTTATGTTAAGCCCTTTAGTGGGGTGGATAATTGTAGTCATACCACAGTGTTTATAATTGGGTATGTTTAACCTAAGAGTTCTTGCATTTCATGTCTTTTTTGAACTTCTATATATCTATTCACCATGAAGAATGGACTATCATCTAAAGATGGTCAACACAGATAAACTGTCTGCCTGTCCTAGTTTGTAAAACCCATATATAATAATGCAATAATTGGATATCAGTTCTTTATATGATGGGAGCTCAACATCACATGTAGCATTACTTAGAGCAGTCTGCATGCAAATAAAGCCTGTAATGCCCACTCCTTCAGACTTACACCCGCACATCAAGACATTTTGATATTTGCATATCTACTCCCAAGAGCCAGCTCACTGATTGCATCAGAACTGCCTTGATGTTTCAAGGAAGCTATGTACAGATCCCTGCTGGTCCCTCCAACCAGCCATGATCTGCTTGCTTGCATTACACAGAGGAGCACAGAGACCCAGTGATCACACCACTGGGTCTAAAATAAAGTATGTAATGGAAACAGAAAGGGTTTGTTTAAACTTTTTGTTAGCATGTCGATAAGAGGAAAAGGTGAAATCTGGAAAGGTAATATATAAACTGACAAAACTTTAGCTTTTAAATACAAGAATAGGGTATGTGGCAGATTCTGAAGCTTGTGTTTACTGCAGAAACAAGATGACACAATAATGGAACAAGGGTTAGTGTGACACTCCCTCGTATAGTTTTGAATTCTTGGGCTCCAAGTTTTTGGGAATTTCCAGAAATGCAGCCATAATCCATTCAAGCACAATAAAGTAATGTAATTCAAAGTCTATTTAGAATACTACAGCTTGCATCTGCCTAAAACTGCACTTTTTTTCCTTACACCTTTTCTTTCACTGTAAAATGTCCTACTTACTAACTTGCAGCAGTTAATCTGAAAATACTTGAGGCCCCTAAGCAACATCAGGTAAAGTCTGCTATGCCAGAGAGGTTATCCTTGCCCAAACCTGCAATAATGCTTTATACTCAAACCTAATAAAAATGCAGTTCATTCATCAGAAATATTACTTCAGGAAAAATCTTTTTGCTATTTTACAGCTCTCTGTGTGAATCAATGTATAAAATCAGTTCCTGTGCTAGAAAGGAGACACTAGATACTTTATGGCATTTTCCCACAGAGGGATGCCCAGGCTATTTATCAGCTAAAAATGGCACAAGATGACATTCATTTAGGTAGTTAACTCCATCCGCCAGCATCAAGGCTGAGTCTGACTATCACAATCATACATTTTTACATGCACAGATGATTTTAGAAAGAAATGTATAAATTATACAGAGAGGTAGAGGGAAATAATAAAATGTAACTTTGATTTATTAACACTGCTATAGCCACTTGGTTTCTGTATTAACTCCCATCTGTGAGGGCAGGACAGGTAAACAGCCAAAGAATAATTTAAAGATAAAACATGTAGTCAGCTATTTGCAGCTGCAAACAGGAAGCAACTGGAGTGAAAAAGCAAAAACAACTAGGTGATATAGTAATCTGCATATTAGGCTTTTGTAAAGCAATTACTACTGGCCAAACACAATTGAACCTGCACATGATGAGCTATTATGTTTTAAAGCTTGGACACGCTTCTGAGTCCACGCAGCTTGCTAAAGGTGCCCATACACTGCACGATTCTCGGCGCGTTAGTGGCCTGCTGGTTCGACAACTGCCGAACGGGCCAGTGTGCGCACATGCACACTGCCCGTTTGCAGTCATCGTAAGCCCGCCCCTCATTACAGTCATCGGAAGCCCGTCCCTCAGGGGGGCGGGCTTGGGATGATCGCAAGTACGATCTGCCTGTCCAAGATGGGCAGATCGTACGCAGATCACGTGGAACTGTGATCAGTCTTAAACAGTTGTGCAATTACGTATTTCAATGTTATGCCAGCAGGTTATGTGGCCAGAGGAAGGTACAAGGCATATCTCTCAAAAGAATGATAATCTGCAAACTACCTGCAAAGGTATGTAATGCAACTTAAGTGTGCATTACATACCTTAGATGTTAGGAAAAAAATGCTAACAGGTGGATGTGAGTTATCAAAGAAACCAGATGCCATCCCCCCATCTACCAAACATGTATACACATCTGAGACCCTCCATAATTCCTGCTTACCTGACTGGTGCCACAATAACACACATGTGTCCATGTTACTGAATGAAAGAGCAAATGTTGTCGTGCTAAGCAGATAATTACATATTGGGTAAGTGTGACATGTTTCCCACCATCCTCTATTTCTCCACCTATTGCAGCAGGACTACTACACCTTTATCTGCATTAAATGTGAGGACACCAAGGGATATTCCACCACCAAAGGAGAGGGGGAGAGAGGTGAGCGCTGAATGCCACAGGTCTGAGGGTCAGGTGAGTTCATTTTAGCCCTAGACCAAAACAAGCAGTTAACCCTTGCAGTGTGGGGGTAGCCCCATTGCAAGGGTTCATTTTTACATTTCCTAGAATTCTTCCTTAAAGCCACACATTTTATAAACAAATGCAAAAAGTTTAAAGTTTGGCGCCAAAGCCGTTTTCCCCCCTTTTTTTGTACACACAAAATATGCACAATTTTTACATGCAAATGCAATGCAAAACATTGTGGTTTTTTTCTGAAAGCAGAAATCCTGTTGTAGAATTCATTTTTAGCTGTACAATATTTGTGCACCTGTTTAGCAAATTCTTGGTAAAAAAATACTGTACACAAGATAATTTTAGTGCACACAAACAAAATAAAATCTCTACACTTAAACAAAATATAAAAAGATGAGACAGAGTTTGGTAAACTAGAAGCCAAAACCGCATCCATCCACGACACAGCAACAAACTACAGAGACCTGCTCCCTGAGCACCTCTTAACCAAAAAATGCTCGGAGCTGAGCACTTCCAGGTTCAAACTTCACAGAAGATATTAAGGAAAAGATGTTTCCCTAACTCTCCCTGCACACCGTTCTAATGTTTTTTTTGTTTCCGGGTTCCCAGGGAAGCAGATGAACTCACGGACTAGGAAGGGGTGCCCAGATGGGAGGGCACATAAAACACCATCGAAGCAATGCAGTGGCTATATAGCTAGCAGATCACCTCTACAATATAGCAGGCAGCCTGCTCCTAAGACGTAAACAATCTCATTGTTACTATTGCTGCTGTGAGTTTGTTTACATGCGCCTAAATAACCCTTATGTTGGCGGGCATAAAAGGGTTAAAGTGTGAGTCTAGGCAAAACTTCATTTTTTTTTCATTTTTTTTCACTGTTGGGTTTGTACTGCTTTTCGGCACTTCATTGGAGAGATTTCTCCTCAAGGCCGCAGTAACAATGGTTTCCCCAGACAGAACCTGAGGGAAAATCTTTCATCATAAAAAAGTTAGTAAAAATGTAGTATATATCATTATAAAATGTCATCATAAAATCAGTGATCCTTCACCTTCTGTATTAGACTTAGTGTGGCACCAAGTAATACACATTTCATTTTTAGTTCACAAAATCATAACAAGACAATTACGCTTGTTAATGAAGGTTTATATTGTATATCTTAAGTATCTGAAGTAAAGTGGAAGATGCAACATAGTGATGATACAGAAATAACCTACAAGATAGAATCATATTAGTTGTAATGAAAACCACAAAAAAAGACAGCCATAGATACTGAAAGACACAACACCTTCACAATGGCGGCCACTCAAGTGTGGTCTTGGGTTCTGCCTGGGAACACATCAATACTGCAAACTAATGATTTTTAAATCATAGGTTTCTTTAGGGTTTGCAGTAGGTAACATTATAGACACGCTAAGCATTAAACACAACACAGTTGAGTTCTTCAACTGGGTAAACAGTAAAACAAAGATTTGTGAAAAAAACAATTTTCAACTCACAATAACTCTGAGAATAGTGGTCCCAACGGTAACATTCTCATAAAGGGTTATGTTGTAAAGAGGCTGACTGAAGATAGGGCGGTTGTCATTCTCATTGATCAGGTTAATCTTCACTTTTGAAAATCCCACATGGTCCGAAACACTTTCATTTGCAAACAGCTAAAAGTCAAAATACAGATTGAAACATTAAAAATAATGATGCTAATAAATATACAAAATAGTTAGCCTATTTTGCAAGCCCTTCCATGTAAGTATTGTGACAACATTGATATCAGTAACCCCTAGCAACATGATATTAACTTACAGCAATTCAGTGGAGTCTGACAAACCATAAATTGTTGCTGGTTAATCCGTGTGTCTTTTCACACATTACTTACTGCACTTAATAAATTAAGGGCCAACGATCATTATACTTTACCAGGTATCGAGGTCATTACAAATAAGAGATGCTTAGAACTAACAGTGTACTTCTGGTTGTTTAGAGAGTAACATAACAGTTATATATAGAACCTTAAAGCTGAACTCCAAACAGATATAAAATGAAATGAACACAGCTCTGTATTCATTAACACATCATAAAGTGTATTTTTTATCTTGTAACTAGTATAAGAACCTAAATTTGACTTGGTCAAATCAGTCCAATGCAATCTATATGGTAGACAGAGAGGAAGGAGCCGAGCCAACCTGGCGGGTGGTACATGAAAATGTTCTAACAGCAAACATCCTGATGGGAGGTAAGAGCAGAGTGAGCAGTCTGCTCCTACTCTTTTACTTTACAGTCAGCAGGCTGGGGGTTGAAGAGAGGACGCCACCGTATTCCTTCTACCATCTAACTGTAAGGGAGAAAGTGGTGCCATCCACCTGGTTGTGCTGTGTGACAGAATGACACCTTTTGTTCCATGTGTTTTTAAATTAACAGTGGCACAAAAAAAAAATACAACACACATAAAAACTTGCCAGCATGGTGTCAGATAAAAATAATAATGAAAATAGCCATCCAAGATCTCTTTTTAGAAGTTAGTTTAACGGATATAGTTGGCATACATCTTGCAATCCAATAATTTTCTCCACCCTACCATCCATTCTTCCCTGCTTTGTAAAATCTACTGAGCCACCTGATTCACCAAGCTTGACGCTTGTATTAATAGGAATAATGGAAAGATCTAAAAAGGATTATGGGAGGTCAAGATGGAGTAGCACATGGTTGCTTTGTTCATGTAAGATACAGTGGATACAAAGGAAGTAATATTCTCTGTTTTTTTAACTGAGAAGTGCCATACTAACATTTGTACAGGAAGCCAGAATAAAACTTGCAATGTATGCCCTATAATTTAAAGTGGCCATGGTGGCAGATTACATGCAGAAAAAAGAAATCAAAGGCTACAGTATTACTCAGACTAATAAGAAATGCTGCGCTTCATCCTTCTTTCACATAAAATAAGAAGCACTTCTATATGACAGAATCATGAACAGGTCTATTTTAATTATAAGACATAATTTTGTCCCAGACCACCAGGACAGTGAGTCCAGCAACTGATCTTTATTGGAGCTTGTATTTCTCTCAGAAAGCCAAGATATTGCTTGTTTGAGTAGAGATCAACCGTCGACTACAGGCCTAACTTTAGCCAAGTTTTTTCTTCCAGTTTTTAAAGGGAGAATAGCTATATTTTTTAGATGTTTATTTCTGTCTGTGACTCTGCTGTGGGATTTGCCCTCAGTTCCTGGCCCTATATGATACCATAGAAAAATGGGGCTGTAAGTTGTCCTGGTGATGAAATTATCCTCATACAGAAGTGAAGTCATTTATGTCTGGTCTCAGTAATCTGTTCTCTCCCCTCTTCATGTGAACCTGCTCTTTGTTTACCATGTGGATTAGAAATCTAGAAGGCTGGCAATTCACTGCTGCGAATTGGGAGCGGGGTGACCAGAGCTGCTGAAACAAAATACTTGTTTGCTGTGCAATCTGATTAAAGCAGATCTAAAGCCCAAATGTTTTATTTTTTGGATATTGTAGAGAAGAGTTAAAAACCTGTCAGGTTTTCCTATCACTACAAAAATCAATGAGGCCGTGTTTAAAAGCTTATTTACTGCTTGATAACCACTTGAGGACCTTAAACATAAAAGATAAAACATCTGCCCTTGTCGCAGATTCCCTGCGGGCACAATCAGTGGTGTAACTAGTGTCCTCAGGGCCCCGATGCAAGAATCCATGAAGGGCCCCTCCCCAAGAAGAAACAAATCAGATTTTTTTTTTAAACAAAATTTAGACAAGTGAAAAAAAAAACCCGCTCATGTCCCCAGCTCCCCATTATCTCCCCCTTCATGTCCCCAGCTTTCCGCTCCCGGACCCCATGTCCCCTTCCTTCATACTTCCAGTCTCGGTCTCCCCCTTCGTGTCCGCAGCAGCTCTATTCGGCACTGGGCAGCAGTTCTGTGTGATGAGGGGGCGGGGATTACACCGCTCCCACTCATTGGCTGCTGCCCGGCTGGATGATACTTCACGCTGCGCCTGGAACAAGGTGAGGGGAGCAGCGTGAAGCATATAGAGCCCAGGACAGCAGGAAGAGGTCCCGGGACTGACATTAGCGGTTACCGGGATAATAAATATCCTGGTAATCAGCGGTCACCAGGGGCCCCTTCCTCCTGTCCTGGGCTCCCTCCAACTGGCAGAACTCCAGGGCCCGGTCGCGACCTCTGCGACCCTGGTAGTTCTGCCACTGGGCACAATGTTACATTCTATTTTCCATTTTATTCATATGTAGATGTAACCTTTGACCTTCAAATGACAGAAGTTAAAGACACCCTTTAAGTATTTATTATGTTATGAAATAAAATGCATTTCTATTTAGTCCCTCATTAATTAATAAGGTGTTCAATTATTTTGCTAATGAGCCCTAACTCCTTCCTTCCCTGCTGCTCTTAGCTATTATTTTTTTAACATTGATAAGTGATTTGTTTTTCATTCATTTCATTTATTTTATTTTTTAGTGTTGCATTAAAAATGTGCAAAATTGGAAAAAAACAAACAAACCTTTTTCTATCTTTATTTTCTAATAACTTTGCCGTGCTTTGTACCAGAAACATAAATTTTAGTGTAATTTTAAAATGGGACTTACTAAAAAGACACACCCTGTGATGGCAAAGAGGCTGTGTGGTCTTGTAACTGCTGATCAAAAGATTTAAAAAATACTTTTTTAAAAATTCTAATTTTTTTCTAAGAAAATAAATGTGTTTTGACCTGTGCAATGCTATTTTATGTATTACAATGGTCTTTTAATGCACTGTGTTTACAAATACTTAAAGTAGATACCCATTTATCAGAAGGGCATCTATGGTGAGGAGCAGTGTGTCTCACATTTATTTATTATTTATTAAAGTATGTACCTTCCTCAGAAAGGTCGCTGTCTACTAATTACCCCTTAGAGAGGTGAAAAATATCTCAAATACCATTTGATGTGTTAATTTGTTAACAGTATAAATATTTACTAAAACAACACGTGTTTTTAAAACTTAATTCCAGACACACATTAAAAAACCTCTTAATTCAGGTATGTACTAATAAAAAAAAATCATGAAATGTGTTGTACTTAGAACTAGCATGCATACCTGAATCTTTGTCGCTAGCAACTTCCTGCAATTCTCAGAACAATCAGGCTGTACTGCATGTTTGTTAAAAAAAAGCTTAGTAAAAGATAAAGCAGGGTGATATTCTCATGAGTGCGCCACTTCTCATTCATTGTCCAAAAGCATGCAGGAGTGCCAGGTGGCCAGGTTGTTGTGTTTAACTGCAGTAAAGAAAGTGACATCACTGACCTGGTTATGCTTTCTGTCAGTTGTGCCTGGATAAGAAAACTGCTTGAGCACAATTTTTTAATTTCTCCTGTTTGCTAAAACATTTACCTTAAATTCAGCTTTAAATATTTATACTGGCTGCAGACAGTAAGAGCATCATTGTGCTGGACTGCTGCTTCAAATGCAACCAATTTTTTTTAAAAATACATTCTGCATTATCAGGCTTATTTAAGATGGTAGAAAAACTGTAATGATAAATAACAAAGCAACAAATAATCTGTATTCATATTATTGTAAAGTGTCTTGGAAACAATAGGAATTACCCAGTTAGGGCATTACTTTAGTGGTGTGATACTATCTAGTCATGGAGCCACAAAAATATAATACCAAGCAACATTCAAATGCAGTAACTGGTATTTATATATTATGCTGTGTGGCATCAGAGGTGATCACACACTAATGGCACTGGCACATACCCTATAAGACAGTGCTAGGTCAAGACATTGAAAAGATAACAAGAGGACATCCAACTGCTCATGGAAGTTGTTTTGTTCATTATAAAGAAATTGCTGCCAATGGTTTGCTAAGGCTACTGCACCTTTCACCTCATCACTGCACTATTGAAGCCTATATAAGTCTTCATTCACGAGACCGAGAACACAAGCTGAATGAAAAATGAACCAGGATGTATATCTTCTGCAATCTGTGAATACAACAGTTATATTGTAATATTTTCTCTAAAGAACAGTATAAATGCAGGGGTGTAAAACAAATGAACTTTTTATACCTCACTTGGAAGTATTTCTATATTTATCATAAATAGTCCATGCTGGAACATGAAAAACAGCTTTCAGCGCTACAAGAAGCCTAACGTTCTCCAGAGGATATTGCAACAGTTGGTGTGCTCAACAACCATACACCTTAGGCAACAGTTGTGCTTGCAAAGTAAAGATATTTTAGCATTTACTGTAACATATTGTAGATGGTAACATGATTCTTACAGAGAATTCATAACGGGGAATCGTCTCATAATCCAACGGCACGGCAACTCGTACACGTATATCTGCTTTTCCTTGGACAGAGGTTGGAGAAATGATGAAATGATTGGAGTTGTTTCCCACCAGGTAAACATCAAAGGCGCTGTTCATACCCTGTGTGAAAGTAATAAAGCAATAAGATCAGATTACAAACGAACAATGCATTATACAGTCACAATGCATACTAGTCAATATCGTTTGCAGAAATGAATTCATACACATTACCACTACTTGAGCTTTGCTCTGTTATAGTTTACATTAGCAGGGTTATTCACAAAAGGGTGAAGAGTTTGGAGGAGGCAGGAGAAGTGAACAATGTAGCTGAACTGGAAAGTGAGCTGAATTGGAGAATTTTTCCAAATCAGCTATTATGGCCTAGATTGTTCCCTTCTCCTGCCTTCTCCAAACTCTTCACCCTTTTGTGAATAACCCTGTAGTTTTTTTTTATTCTTGTTAATGGAAATTAATTTCCACTTTTAGTATAGCGCCTTGCTTACTATGAACAACCTCTCTGTGACAGGAGGGAGTTTCCACTCTTTGGTATAACAGCAGGTGTTTGCGTGCCTTATTTTAGTGTTTTTTATAATTCTAACATAATGCACAGTGCTTTAACCAGTTGACATCCGCGGTGTTAAACCCCCTTCCCATCCAGGCCATTTTTCAGTATTCAGCGCTGCGGTACTTTAACTGACATTAATAATCATATCATCTACACATTCACAAGCTACCAATATTGGATTGGTGAGTGGTTAAAAAAAAGGCCACATACAAAATAAAAGCTTCATGCAGCTTGTGATCCAGAAATGCCAGTTATATTCACTAAATTCTAGATTGGATTACATTTTTTTTTAATAGAGGTATTGATTAGATTTTTGATAACAGACATCTGAGGGTCCCGGGACTCTATTCTATAAGAATTGGGGGGACTGGGAACTAACAAATTCTCTTTTAACTAATTTACCTCCTTCAGAATGTTACCCTCCTAACCACCACAATGTTCTGTGTGTTGGAGACTTTTAAACTACAGTGTTCCCACCCAAGGACAAAGTTTGGCTCAGGCACCTCTAAATAGTTACCTTTCAGGTGTCCAGGCAAATGCATCATTGTGCTTGGTCACAGAGGGGGCAGACAGTATAGCTCTTGGATCTACAGTACTCAAAATGTCTTAAAGATTTGTGTGTAAGTATGGTATAATGTTCTGTGGAGTGCTTTCTATGCATGATGGACATAGGTGACACTCTGTAATTTTAGAATCAATAAAATGACCCCGAGTCCACCTTTACCTGAGAGGTCACAATGTTAAGGGTGGCCATGCAGTAATAGGAGCTTTCCTACCAAAGATCTTTCATTGGACTATATCAGTTGATGGGGTAAAAACAATCATTCATTTCGACCATAGTGATGAAAAAAGTAAAAGGAGCAAGATGGAAATTTTTTCTCGAACAAACAAAATTCTAACAGTGTATGTGGTTTTCGTTTGGGAAACTACATTCATTCCAAAATTGAATTTTAAAATAAAAATATTTTTTGTTCGACACACGTCAAGTCTCTGATGGCATTATCGTCTGGTAAAGAAAGATCTTTTGTTTGGAAATGTACTAGTGTATGGCCAGTTTAACAGTGTACACAATCTGTGCTTGGCAATTGGCATTGGCTACTGTGTCACAATGGAGTAGCAACAAGTTTCCTTCTTTACTACCTGGGGACACCACACACAGGTTGGCCACACACATTGACATCGGATTGTGCAATGTACTTTAGATTTACCAACAAATATGTAGTAGAAGGATCTACCTGTGCATAAGCATCAAGTGAATTGTTTAGCAGAGCCTTTACTTTACAGAGTTGTTGGTAAATCCAAAGGATATTGTACAATCAGACTGTAGTGTGCATCTCCAGCTTTACTTTTGCTAGATCTGTGTTATTGTTCAATGAGTTTACCACTGTCTTTACCTCACACCCTCTAAAATACAACAGTAAAAGTGTGCTAGAGGAAGCTTATACTTGTATACACATGAATAAGAGCCTTGGATAAAATCCAGACTACCATGCTCCTGCATCCACAGCAGGGGACCAAGGAACTTCCAAACAGCAAAGGCCTCACTTAGTGAAATTAGAACATGAGTGTAGAGCTAGAGGCATGCTACATGAATGCTTTTGTAGAATAATTCATAGCAGTTACAGAATAAATCTACTTCTCATTTTGGGAAAAAACTTAGTAGCAGTCAACAAACTTTGTGTTGCCAGGATTTCAGGAATCAGTAACCACTGAGAAACAGAATTTTTACAGTGTTAGTCTAAATTAGTAAATCTCTGCTGCAGGGTAACTTGTGTTACATGGCCCAGATAAGACTACCTGAATCAGTAGTATGCAAACCTAAGACAGCATTAATTTGACATGCCTGAAAAAAAACTGAACACAATTTAGGTAAATATGAGCCTCTGGGGGGGAATTTATCAAAACTGGAGCAGACAAAATCTTGAGCAGCTGTTAATGGCAACCAATCAGCCTCCACCTTTCATTTTCAAACCTTAACTCAAAACTGAGGAGAGAAGCTGATTTGTTGCCATAGGCAACTGCTCCAGATTTTTCTGCTCCAGTTTTGATAATTTCCCCCCTCTAAATCGCACATTGATTTATTATATCTAAAAGGAAGACCACTTATCCATCGTGTATGGAATAGAGGGGCTATATTTTTCATATATCGACAGCTACAGTAAGTGACACCTGGGGGTTATTTTAGGAGCCTGTGAGATACAGGGAAGTGATCCTACTAAAAAGCTTTTTTGGATGGTCTAGATATATTATACACCGTAGAGTATGTTGCTGAATAGTTGTGGTCCAATATGTTTTGTTAGCAGTATTAATATTTTTTGTTTTACTGTGGGTGTCAAGCTGTTACTATGGACAAACAGCTGCATGCAGTGCATGGGTTATACATTTAGAACACATGTTTCGGCAAACTAGCTTGCCTAGTTTGTTTATGTATCGTTTTGCTGTCTTTTAGGTGATGTGTCATACATAGTATTATAAATATGTTATCATGATTTATACAACACAAAAACCATATGCAGATGCACTGTGCTGTCTGCAGAATTAGTACATTTTATAATGATTATGTATTGATTGTACTCATTCTTTACCTTCAAAATGGAAAACATGTTTTCTTTCTCTCTGTTTTAGTTGTTTTAAGATATTCGTTTTTTATTTGGCATAGTCCGCTCATCCTGAATTTAGAAATTAGGAATACATATATACACTTTAACTGAAGTTTGTGTTTATTTAAATGTCTTCATTTCAGAATCAGTTTCTATCTTTGTTGCAATCAACACAACTGGGGTTCTCTTAAGACTATGGCATGTGTTGTTAGGCAGCTGTTAGGATTTCAGTCTTTGTTTGCCCAAGGGGCATAAAGTGTATATACAATCATGCATATAACATTTCTGAAAACTGATAACATTTTCTGAAACTAGTCATGGATAGTAAATACCGTATACTGTTGTTTAGCAAGCAAGCATAAAAAAAGTTATCAGCACGGTTAGAAAAAAATTAAATTAAGCAATCTAATTAATTTCCAAGTGTTAAATGTTTTACCTTTTTCATTACTCTTGTAAACTATCTGCCCCTTAACTGTACTATTAAAAATGAATGTCATATTTTAAAGACTTAATTTGAAGTTTCTGAATTGGTAGACCAGTTTATTGCTGTATCCCAGTCCCCAGAGAATACCATGTATTGGCAGATGTGTTATGCATAAAGTGAATATATATGAAGCACTTTAAATGATTTCTTTAGCAATTGTTAAAGCTGTAGACGTGCTCTATAATTATAGCTACTGCAGCATTCATTGGGAGATCAGAGAACTATTCTGAATGCTGAATTAAAAGCGGCCATTTTTGTGACAAGGTCTGAATAAAACCTAGTGATTGAATTATTGAAAACATTTACTGTGCTTAAAAACTGCATTACTGTCTACCATATACAGCTGTAAAGACCTTTTCTTCTTTTAATAAAGCACAATAGTTAGTAAAAACTTTGCAGTCTTTGAAGCTGTCCAGGCTTACAGTTGGGATTAAAAGTTTGCGTATCCTGGAAGAAATCATAACATGTTGGCATTGATATTGAAAATATGACTCTAGAGGTACTGGGGAATCTTGTGAAAATTGATGGCAAGATAAATGCAGCATGTTATCAGAAAATACTGGCAGACAATTTGCATTCCTCTGCATGAAAGCTGTGCATGGGACAATCTTGGACTTTCCAACATGACAATGTCCCTAAGCACAAGGCCAAGTTGACTGTCTAGTGGTTACAGCAGAAAAAGGTGACGGTTCTGGAGTGGCCATCACACTCTCCTGACCTTAATATCATCGAGCCACTCTGGGGAGATCTCAAATGTGCGGTTCATGCAAGATAACCAAAGACTTTGCATGACCTAGAGGCATTTTGCCTAGATGAATGGGCAGTTATACCACCTGCAAGAATTTGGGGCTTTATAGACAACTATTACAAAAGATTGCACGCTGTCATTGATGCTAAAAGGGGCAATACACAGTATTAAGAACTAAGGGTATGCAGACTTTTGAACACAGGGGTCATTTCATTTTTTGTATTTGTTTTATGTTGCCATGTTTTGTTTTATGTTTGTGCCATTCTGTTATGACCTACAGTTGAATGTGAATTCGATAGGAAATAAAAGAAGTGTGTTTTGCTGCTCACTCATGTTTTCTTTAAAAATGGTACATATATTACCAATTCTCCAAGGGTATGCAAACTACTATTGCGTACAACTGTACATCCAATGATCTTATTTGTTTGTGATAGCCTGAAGTTTACCATTAAAATTTCAACCTGACCTAATAGGCAACTTCAAGGAGGGCACATGTTGGCAAAGTAAAAGAAAAACTTTCCAACACGCTAAACAATAAGATATCAAAAAAGAGAAAATATACCAAAATTGTCCATGCCACCTGGACATAAAAATGTTTGTGAGTAGCAGATGGATAAATATGTAGCTGGGTATGTAACTGCACCCACCCTTCTCCTCCTGTGCACTGTTTTTCATTGATAATATCAGACCATTAACATGTACAGTTCCATGTATTTCAATCTACTGCTCAATTTTCTCTTGCTGGGAGATGTCCATGTGGAAAAAATATTATTTTGTGTTTTCCAGTATATACTTGTTCTCACCCACTTATATTTTCATTGTTTAGTGTGCTGGGAAGTTTCTTTTTTGTTATATATATTACATTTGGGACCTGCACTGACCTGCACTTATAGATTTTATAGACATTTGGTGGCCCTCACTTATTTTTCTGTAGTATACTACATGTGCAGAAGGATGACATTTTGTTTTACATCCCTAAGCCAGAGACCTCTGCATCTACATGGCCTGCACAGCTCACTTTGTCTTCCACATCTGGCAGCATCTACTGATTTAATGAACAATTTTACAAAAATACATTTATGTGGAATTAATCACACGGGCAATATTACACAGGCCACATTTTCAATAGACAACTGGAAAGAGCCCACAAAGGTCCATTGTAATTGTGCCACCCATTTTACATTCTATCCTCTAAATAATCTTTTATCCTATTAGCATTCCAACACAGGAAATCTGTAGCATGTAGAGTTTACTGTTGCTAGCCCAAAAAACAAAAGCAAAGCATAATATGATTGGGCTACTGGTATTTTCTTTGTTACATTCTTCTTATTGAGCAAACCTGTTGGCCTATATTTTAAGAAAAACTACAATATTTTACAAATAAAATTCAATTGTACTGGCCATATGAAGAAGCAACATAGGTCTTATCAAATAT